GATGGTGAACGTATGGAGTACTTATCATGAGTAGGACTGACGTGCACTTTGTCACGGTGCGTCAAAATAAATTCAATACTAACACTTATACGTAGTATAGCGTAGTAGAGTTCGTATCCACAGGGAAAGGAATAATTCTCTTTTTATAGAACTAGTAAATAAAAGGGGGGTTTAGGATTGAATGATTTAATTTAATTAAACAGAAAGATGAACAACTTAAATGTGATTTAATTCAAAGATAAAAAGGACTTGGCATTGCTACTTTCCACTTGTTGATATATTTTAGTCGATCATTGTTATATCTATAACTTATCCCCTCTCAAATACTCAATCTAGGAGTATATCCAATTCATCGAGAGTAGTTATTAACAACGACCGTTCATTAATAATCCTTACTATTAGTCAAGTATAGAACACCGCCATATACCGACTTAATAGTAGCATTTAATCTCTTAACTCCTTGATGAAATCAATTGAGATTGATAACCTCAACACAACGGTTTCGGTTTAACCAACAAAATTAATCCCTCTTGAGTTTATTAACCACGACCGTGCATTAATAAACCAAAGTTACTTACTTGTGAAACCATCAACGATTAACCATCGGTTCGTTGATCGTTTCTAGTAGTAATTAATGTCGAGATGTTAACTAATTGTCATCTTAGCAACACTCCCCAACATTAATATAGAGATAGATTAAGGGAAGAATTAATATTCAAGGAAGAAGATTAAATATGAATAATCCTACTATAACTAATGTCAAGATGTTATCTAATTGTCATCTTAGCAACACTCCCCAACATTAATATATAGATAGATTAAAAGAATAATTAATATTCAAGGGAAGAAGTTAAGAAAATAACTCACAACTTTAATAATCAACAAGCTTCAAGAGCAACACCAAGAAATGGAAGTTTAGCTCCTCATTTGGAGACTAAACATGCTATAAAAATATAAAAGAAATACTATTCTAAACTAAGCTTAAGAGTATGGAAGAAGGGATGATTCTTTGTGAAGGAAAATGGGGTTATTTATAGGTGTTTTTCAACACCTTGGGCCGGGTACCCGACTGGGTTAGGTGCTTACCCAACCGGGTCCGGTTAAAATCAGATATCCTCCACGTTCTGGCGATCTTCGGCACGTTCTGGTGTCCCGGGTCAAGTCTGACCCGACCGGGTCAAGTAGGGGACCCGACCGGGTCTAATGATTTTCCAGGCAGTTTCGGATTTTACATCAGACCCGACCGGGTGCATGGTCTGACCCGACCGGGTTTGTGCTCCTGGGCACACTTATCACCTTTTTCTTCACTTCAAAGTCCTCCTTTTCAACACCCTAATTCCTAACTCTACTTTACAACTTACAAATGAAGATTAAAATACAATTACATCTAAAATCACACAAATGTTTACAAACTAAATAAAACGGTAAACAATCCACACAAATCAAACATAAAAACATACACTAATGCACTACTAATTAGTGCATATCAAGGACCAAAGAGGGGCATAAATTGCAAAAAAAATACTTATCAAGTATTTTCTCAATAAATGTTTGATGAAATTTTATACAAATATAGTAAAAAGTATTACTGAAACAAAATTTAATTACAAAAAATATAATTAATAGTTACTATAGCATAGGCTCACACGCAAACATTTTTAATTTGTTTTTATTTGGACTTATTTTAGTCACGGACCAAACCAAACCAGACTAGGATGTTTTCTTTTGGACTGAAATTTGCTGGTCTGGTCTGGTCTGGTCCGTTTAAGTCTGGTCTGGTCTGGTCTGGTCTGTTTAAGTCTGGTCTGGTCTGGTCTGGTCTGGTCTGTTTAAGTCTGGTCTGGGACTGAAAACAGTCCAAAAGAAAACATCCTAAAATTGATCAGATCATACTTCGAAAGTTATAAAATACACAGAAACCAGACATTTACCAGATCATCAGACCAGATCAGATTAGATAAAAAACGGAGTTAGTAAATAACTTTCATTTAAGGCAATTTCCTTTTCATGACCTCTACCTTGCCGCTAGAGCTGAACAAAAATATGGAAATGATTCATTGATTCGTAAGCAATAAATGCACCGAACTAGGAGTGGTAGTTCTTCCTTGGCTCTTTGCAAATCGCAACTCACATATATATCGGCGACAAGAAAAATCGATCGCAACCCAGGACGAAGGTATATTAGGTACGTAATTTCTATATCTAATATTCTAATTCTAATGCACCAAATCTTGAGATTGCCTATTTCTATGTCTAGCGATTTATCCATGTGCGGGTTTTGAGGTTTTGACTTTGAAGAACCGACTTTAATTTTATTATGAAATTAAAGTTCATTATGATAATTTGTATGCTCAAACTTTTATTGTTTCAAATTAACATTCAAGAATACTAATTTTAAATATTGAACCTTCTTGCGTCGAATGTTTGCCGAAGTTTCTAAAAGAAATCTCAGAATTGGTTTGAATTTGATGCTAATTAGTTATATAATCGTACATTTGATTAGACTCGCTAAAGCCTTAACTTGAACCTGATTGTTGTTCACTCATGAAGACTGAAGTGGAAACTCTTGATTCAAATGGCTGATCACTTGTGGCACTTTTGAGATTTGAGACATTGTTTGGACAAAAAAGTTCTTTTTCACTCAGAAATAATATTTGACAAACATGCTTTGAATTTTCATATTAATAAAATAGGGTTCGCAAGAAACTCTCTTTTCTACGTCTATCCGGAACGAAGTAGGAAAAGAAATTTAGTATTACCCATATTATAGCAAGAGATTTGTAAAAAGATTTTAATTGAGTATTATTTTTTCTGTAGTAGTAACTTCTTTTTATTTTAGTTAGAATAGATGTGGTTGAGATACTTGAATAATTTTCCTTTGGTAATATTTTTCTTCATGTGTTTGTTAGTTGGCGTTAGGTCGGAGAACTTCAATAGATAGTGTTTCGTATCCTATCGGTTTAAGTTTAAAATTGCTCGTTCGTCACTATCTATTTTTTGTACTACACTTATGATCCGATTTGTAACTGGTATATGGAGATCGTTTTGTCTGTTTTCCTTTTATTAGTGTAGGCCTTTTATTTGTCATAAAAACAAACTCCCGAGCAAGATAAAAACGAGACTCGGGGAAAATGTAGCGGGCCTTGAAATTAAAGTAATGAAACCCAAACAAGATACTCGTAGAAGAAAACATACTCGTGGACATGTTGTTTTGGATGTATGTGTCAAGTACTCAAGTGTATTTGTTTATTTGAGTGTATAAAAGTAATAAAACTCGTTTTCTTTAATATTAAAGATCAGTTTTTTACATTAAAACCCAAACAAGATACTCGTAGAAGACAACATACACGACTATGTTTAGCACACAATACTCTCTCTTCTAGCTTTTCTACATTATAAAAAATCTCTAAAATCATATAGTTATGTTTGGCATGACAATATTTAAGAGTTTTTCAAAAAATAAAAAATCTTTTTTGAGATACCATAGGGAGTAACATCTGAGAAAAGTCAATGGCTTTTAGCATTATTTAATCCAAACATCTTGTATACCAAATAGAACAAAATCAAACAGTCAGCTTTTTACTAAACAGCTGCCACCTTTTCTTTTTAAGATCTTTTCATTCACTGAAAGCTAAGAGTTACTAAAAAAATTCGCAAAAGTATCTTTTCAGCTAGTTGTGTCAAACATACCCGAATAGGTATGGAGCCGGGCCATGTCGAGCCCGGGCCGAGGCCTGGTCGGGCCTTTTGTGTTTGGGGGAAGGCCCGGGACAGGGCCGGGCCTCGGGCCACTTTGTATTTTTTTTCCTTTTTCTAATTAACCCCCGACCCCCCACCCCCACCCCCAAATCACCCCAAATGGTTCAAAATACCCAACCCAACCCAACCCGGGTTTTTAAAAAAAATTAAAATAATAATAAAGCCCGAACCGGCCGGGCCGGTTCCATTTTCAGCTGATCCGAGCCAGCCCTTTCCTAACCAGCGGGCCGGGCTACCCGAACCGGACTGTGGCGGGTCACCGGGCCGGGCCCAAACAATACCGGTCCTAGGCCGGTTCCGGACCGGGCGGCCCGACCTGAGTCCAAGACTATACTCGAAGTAGTTTAATAAAAAACGTGTGAAAAAAAATATACAAGAAGTAAATTCTTCCATATTTGTTTTCTCAATGTCAACCCAAGTAAATAAGTAATCAAACTGAGACCTCATCCACCAAATCAACGGGCTAAATCGACTTTCTAGCCTGATATGCCGAAAGCCAAACATAGTCATAAAAACTTTCCATTCTATTTGGTTATCGGTTCTCTCTATCGGAAAATTGACAAAAAACTTTATCATCATCAACCAAATCAACACGAAAAATACCCCTGGTATGAACCAATTGTGTCCGCATTTTGTATGAACTCTTTGATCTCAAGCGAATTTTAGTAATTAAATCATAATTAGGATCAATTTTAATCAATTGATCAATTTTTAAAACAAAAGTTAGTAAGAAACATTATTGGGGGTATATAAAGATATTTAAGTATGGAAACTTATTGAACCCGCAAGATATTTTCATATCTGGTAAACTGTATGAAGATATTCAAGTATTGAAAATTACGCCGTATTTGGTAATTGATCAATGTTAATCAATGAGATAATTCCCTAAATAGGAGTAAAAACGTTTTGAAATTCCAAAATAGGAGAATCATGTTTTTTATTCTCCGAACAGGAGTAAATTTCTGCCAAGTTTGGTTTTACAAGGCTTTAAAGATGTCAGTTTCTTCCAAACTTGGCAGATTACTCCTATTCAAGGAATAAAAAACATGATACTCCTATTTTGGAAATTCAAAACATTTTTAATCCTATTTAGGGCAATTTCTGTTAATCAATTGATCAATTTTATACCAAGAAATGCGGGTTCAACAATTAGTAAACGGTACTCCGTATAAGTTTCCAACCAGATTACCATATATAAAAAGGTTATATAAGTTTACCAAATCTTCATAAAACGGTATAAACGGCACAATTAAGTTTCTATACGTTTCCACAAGATACCAATTCAATCTTTGTGCAATACAATTTGGATTATGATGTTATTTGAACAATTTGAACTTCAGACCAAATCTCAAGACATATAAGGTAAGACTCTAGCCGACTAAAATTGGTAATATTTTAAATCTGGTAATTATATTTTATCCAGTCATTTGAATTGGCTAAGTCTCCACTTAAATCGAACCTGAATTGCTATGTGTGTGATGTAATGGTTTGAATTCAAATTCTGACCCTAATTAAGAATTATATTCATTCTATTGAAATCTAAATTACATCAATTACGAAAGATTTATATAGGTTATATTAAGTGGCTGGTTTTTATCGAATATAAATTAGGAAACAACACTACATACTTTGAAATTCAGACACTTACGACAATCCAATTGAACTTTATTATTTCGTATCAGAATATGCATGTTAGCATCATGAATTTATATCGATCGACCACAATCTTAAAGATCATTCGAATTCTAAATTTGATACCCAGCTATTAGATTCAGCTCAATGATTAATCTTTTCATCAAAGGAAGGTTAGTTGGTTAAATATGAACTACCATACGGAGTAATTATCCGGATTCATTAGATTTCATCTTTTTTTTAAATTGAAATATTTAGGCAAATATGTAGCTTTAGGCCATTTTATATGGGATATGGGGTACAGGTATGTATGGCATTAGTGGGTAATGCATCTACGTCTACCTTATAAAAAACGATCATTTTATTTTTGGTATGATGCAATCATCATAAATAATTATGGATATCATTATTTTTGCACTTATTTGTTCATTAATTGTTCATTGTATATAAGGAGTCTTTTGGTGAATTAATGTATTTCTCTTGACAATATATACCGTGCCCTGTCCGTATGAAGGTTGAAGTAAAAATGAGAGATGCATTTCGGATCATAAAGTCGTTCCCGAGCTTGCCACGTTTGGTTGTGGTAGATCTTGATTACACTTTGTGGCCTTTTTACTGGTAAACACGCTTCTCCACAGTTTTCATTTTTTCATTCTAAACAAAAACTTGGGCTACGATCCGATACTCGATCAGTATAATTAATTAGCTTTTTTTATTAGGATCTATCGAACAAATTTTAGTAATATTTGTTTTTTGAAAAAGTAATAATTATAGATAATAAAGTCGATGTACATCGATAAATCTACAATTTTTTTCCGAAAGAAAATGCTAAAATATACTCCCTCCGTCCCATAAAATTTGGCTATATTGACTTTTCTTGGTCAATGATGGCCAAGTTTGACCCTTTATATTTTTTAATATATAATTATTTCTAATATGAAAATTATATGAAAATGTTCTTTGCCAAAAACACTTTCATAAAAGTATAAAAGTTAAAAGTTTCACACAAATATAATAACTAAAATCATCATCTGAAGTTTATTACGGTTGACCAAGAAAAGTCAAACTGGCCAAGTTTTGTAGGACAGAAGGAGTATTAAATATTGACTCAAAACAAAGCAATTTTCCCCTAAATATACGGGAGATTTGAGGCAAATAAATACCATAACACTCCGAAAATCCTACTAATAAAAGCAAGCGAAAAACATGGCAAAAAGAGTCTAAAATAAGGCGCATTCGCAAGGCTGAAGTCGTTAATTTGAATTTTCACACAAAACTTTATTCTCTTATATATCATTTTTCGTTATAAATTTAATATTTAGGCCGACTGGCCGAGTATCATGTATAAACATTATATGTATTCATTACTCCATTTATAATATTTATATCTTCTTACTTTCTTTTTCAAATGACACGGGACTGACCTCGGCTCCTGTCAAAGTAACCAAGCTTGACTGGCTCCGAAGAATCTGCCCCGTAACAAGTCATAGACTCATAAGTCATAACCCTCTCTTAGGGGCTGTCCGTGAGTCAATAATGGCCCAAGTCTAGCATAATCAAGTAACCAATTAACCCAAACTCCTGCCAAGCTGACCCAGTTTCAGAACCAATTAAGGCATGCTTCCAGTCCAGCAGCATCCAGTGTATCAAAGCAGTCCCATGTGCAGTTTCCCGTCCGGCGTAACCTCCTGGTCGAAGCCCACCGAATAACCCATGAAACCATCAGCGAGGCCCATCCATGTGAGACCCGTATCCAGCTTGTCCAGTTTGAATATTATTCAAGAATCATGTCTATTTTGAATAATACTCATTTTACATTCAGTAAGGGCATCCCCATCAATAGGTTTATTTGGGGATTATTTTGATATGGGATAGTGTAAAAGATAAATTTTGATAAGAGATATTTAGGGATTAGGTTGAGATGTTGAGATTATTTGAAGATATTATTTGATGAAAAAATCTGGATCTTTTTTAAATGTTGGATTATTGATGATTATTCTCAAACTTCTAGGTTCTCTCCCAACTTTTCGGGCATACTCACGGTTAATGTTGTTGGGTGTTGGCATTTGATCTCCACTAATTTTGCTTTTAAAAGTAAAAGTGCAATATGAAACCTTAAAGTTGGTTTCCTAATTAATTTAACATTATGAATGAGGAAAAATTAATTGATTTGAAGATTATTTAAATTTTTTTATATACAAGTAACATGACAATAATAAGGTGTAAAAAAATTTAGAATTGAAGCATGAATGGCAATGCTCTAAGACATAATTATCACAAATAATGATTTATATAGGTATCGTAAAATTTATTTGTTCATATGATACCTTAATTAATTTATCCACTTTTCGGTTTGAATTTTACTGTAAAGTAGTAAGTTTACTTTGTATCCAAATGCTTTCAGTCATAGCCGATCTGAACATGATTATGCCGAATTGTATCCTCAAGCAAGAGAGATCTTACTCGCTCTACATGAAATGGGAATTGGTGTTGCTATTGCCTCAAGAACACCCACTCCAAACATAGCTCGTGCCTTTTTACTTAAGCTAGGTTTAGGATCAATATTTATTGCCAAGGTAGTATCTAATTTACCCCCTTTAAATTAACGTATCACATTTAATTTATTTACATAAATTGATCTATGATTCTGACTCTATATATGCCTGTTTTATGATGATTAGGAAATGTTTCCAAGTAGGTCACCAAAAACAGAACATTTTGAAAGGATCCACAGAAGAACAATGGTGCCTTATAATCAAATGTTATTTTTCGACGATGAGAAAAGGAACATTGATGCGGTAAGTTTACTGTTTACTCCTTAGCTTTAATTATAAGATTTTTTCCACTAGTTCACTAGAATAATTCACTAGAATAAGTAGGAAAAGTTCCCGAAATAGAAGTAAACGAGTTTTGTAATTCCAAAATAAAACTATTAGATTTTGCTTTCCAAAATATGACTAACATATATGACAGTATTTACTGTCAATATGGAGTTGCTACTGAAAAAATAGTTACACTCCTAGCCGACATTAACTTGATAATATTTACCGTCATTAATAAGACATTATGTTTTTCTAATTTTTATCTTTTATATTAAAATAGACTTACATTTTACACGTACTACCATATGAAATATATTACAGTATGATGATTAAAGGATTTATTGAATAGAGTGGCTGATTAAAGGATTTATTTGCTTTTTACCAAAAAAAAAAGGATTTATTTGCTTTCGAATCAAACAGTACGCACAACAATTTAACTAGTGGTCTGGTCTGGTTTGAACTGGTCTGGTCCGGTAAACGTCAGGTCTCTGTGTATTTTATAACTACGAAAGTCAAGTCTGGTCTGGTCTAGTCTGGTCTGGCCTAGGACTGAAAACCGTTCAAAAGAAAACATCCTATACTCTGTACACCAAAGCCTGGAAGTCTGGAACTTTATCTTTTTTTTCCATGCTTGATTTAATAATATCTAAAGCATCGTCATAGATAGTGTTGAATAATAAATGATGCTTACTCCGATGATCCGATCAACGGCAATCACTTATTTGCTATTTACATGATTTTCGCAAGAACTTGAATAGAATTATGAAAAATCAATCACATCTCATATCAATTCCTAATTAAATATTTAAATCTCAAAAAAGAAATATACGAAGAAATATTCCATGAATTAACCACTTGATAAATAAATACTTTATTATACATATATATATGAGTTGCTAAAGTAGTTCAAGCACTACTTTATACAATCATAGTGATGGTTCAACCTTCTCCTAATCACCACCAGAGATTGAACGAGGTGTTAGGCGCCTAGGTCAGGATTCAAGAATTTTATCTAGCTTACTTATATTTATTCATATTTCGCTTTTATTAGGATCTTTACTTTGTTATGATTGTGCCGTGTTTTTCTGGCAAAAAAACTCTAGAACCTAGGAAATGTGATGGAGATTCTGGTCTGGAAGTCATTGACTCAGTTAATCTCAAAACGGGATCAACGAATTATATTGCTTCTATGGAGGTGATTAATTATAAGTCTGATTCTAGAGCAGACTTAAGCGAGGTTGGTTAAAAAAGTAGTTTAAGCACTACTTTCGATATGGGTGTTACAGTTTTATCTTTAGTTCTATTTAAGATATTTTGCACCATAATTTGATTAATTATAAGAAGCACTATTGTGACTTATCAATAAGAAAACAAAATTATTTTTTTCGGCAAAAGTAGAAAGAAGGTTTAAAAAATATGAGATATAAAAAAGTTTTTTCTTAAATATTACGTGTACTAAATAATCTAATGAGAGTACAATTAGGAAAAGTGGAATTTGAATTTTGTTCTTAAAAGATAAAGAAATACCCCCGTCCCTCAAAACTTTGCCAACTTTCCCTTTTTGGATGTCCCACTAACTTTCACTACAACAATTAAGCCCCTAATGTAACAGTCAAAAGTGTTACAATACCACTAAAAAGTGTTACAATATCACTAAAAAGTGTTACATTAGAGCAATTGTAACACTTTTTTACCATTACATTTGCTCATGTTGCATTAGATTCTATTGTAACACTTTATAGACCCTAATGTAACATTTATACTTCTAAAAAGTGTTACATTAGATCTAAAAAGTGTTACATTAGAGAAATATGTAACACTTTTACAAACTGTTACATCATTACACTAGTAAAAAAATGGCTTATAGTGACATTAAATTAGTGTCACTAAACGATTTAATGACACACTGAATGTGTCACAGAAAAGCGGGGCGAGTGACACAAAATTTAGTGTCACCGTTAACAAATCACTTTTGTGTCACAAAATTATGACATGTAAACATCATTGAGAAATGTGATACATTTGCGTTGGTATTCTTAATGACTCCTAGACATCATCTGAACTAATGATACATTAATATCAACAAATATTTTGACACGTTGGTATCATACATATTTATGACTCATTGGTATCATGTGTGTGTATCCATAATAATAAAATCATATCGATTATAATATCTCATATTAGTGAAATCATATTGATATTTATAAATAAACAAAATATTAAACAACTATATTCATTTAATAACTCAAATCGTAAGATTCACATATTCTAATATTACAACACAAATAGTTTAAATCGGCACAACTAAAAACCAACACTTCTAGATATTCAATAACATGTTGATGTTGATATTGCTAAAGAAATGTTAAACTCAGAAGAAAGTGCTCATCACGAGGAACAAAAGAACATTGACCGGATCAGCTAGCTTGGAATTGGCCTTAACCGAAACCTCTACCATTCTGTCTACGTCCATGCCCAATACATCTTCCATTTGAATTTCATGTACAACACACTAGGATAAAACTGAAATTGAAGATGAAAATATTATCATACTCGGTTACACAATAAGGTTTAATGATACAAATATATATTATTAAACTCATAAAAAATAAATGGTATAGTAGAAGTAGCAATCACAGAATAGGAAGGATAAGGTTTAATGGTATACTCGGTTAGAGAATATATGCTATATTACAATCTGGTTTCTGTGATTAAAAACAAAATGGAATTCACACACATCGCCAGGATAGGTAGCAAATCAGTATAGGTAGGTTAATGTGTGATTCAATTCATTCTCATTCTTCCACTATAACTTTCACCAATTAGTTATTTATTCTTTATTACCCTTGGGGCCTTGGTTCATCTTTCGGGGGAGAGAATGAGAAGGAAACACTTAGGACCTCCAGGGTAGCAAGGAAAGGAGATAAAACAAGTCTACTTAAGGATACTATCTAATTAAAATGCTAAAAATCCATGGTATAAAGATATAGGTACAGTTACAATCACATGATAGAATGCACATGAATAGATTACCTCTTGAAAACCACTCTGTGACAGACGGAATACTAGATTGAACTCTGAATACACATTGCAAATAGCCACAGGACACTGTTCAAAGTATACCCTTGTGTACTGAAATTCCGTCAAGAGATGATCTCATCATGAACACTAATAAAAACATCTCACAGATTGTTAATATGAAAAACAGCTATAACACTCCATTTATTTTATTTACTTGATTTTTTATCCTTCTCCATTCTTTTTACTTTGTTCACGTTTAAAGAATACTCAATGGCAAGGAGAAGAGGTTTTCTTAAAGAAATAGGTTTCCATACTTTAAGTAGTGTTAGAGCATCTTTCAACTCCGTCCATTCAGAAAAGGTGTTCTTGATGAACGCAACATTAGACTCCATGAACAAGTCCTTTAATATGCTACTGTTGTACTTTGGTGTCCTTTAATATGGTAAACTACCAACCTTGATTTAGAGAACGAATATTGTTCCACTCCAGCCGAAGCTTCGATGGATTGAACAAAGATGTTGCCATGGGAATTATCCTTATGATGAATCCAGTATCCCGAACTAGCTTTGCAGCTATAAAATGTAAAAACTTCTCTCTTGGTTAAAGAAATTGAAATACAGAAAAGTGGATAATATCAATAGCAACAATATGTAAAACAAAAAACCAATACTCAGTGAAGTAAATAATGGTCAAAGCATAGAATGAAAACCCGGGCAGAATACCAGTATTGGTTTCCGAGCCTCATTTTGAAAGGAAGACCAACTCAAGTTTTCAAATTGTGGAAAAACATTCAGATGCTTCTTTATTTGGCAAAGATAAAGGTATCGTTTGGCATGGTATTGATGGTTCAAGTAGTCTTTTTCATGAAAGCACTCCTGATAAAAAGGACATCAGAAACATGAAAGGGAGCAGATAATAAATGCATGGTACCACTGGGTTTTAAGACTTATTTAAATACAAGTTTCCAAAAATTAAAATGAAAATTTGAATGGGCCACCTTTACCCCACATACATTAAGTGCAGTAATTTGACTCCACAGTTCAATGTAAGTTACGTAACCCAAATCACATTGGAACTGTAAATCTAGGAATACAGTACTTTAAGGAAAGCAAAACAGTCAGTGGTGCATCCACTATGATTGTCTTGTGCTTCTTTACAAAAGGAGAGCGCGCTTCTTCATTGAACCTGCAGCATGGGAACCCAATATGTAATATAATACTACCTCCGTCCCACTAAGATTGGGACGGGAGAAGGTGACACGAATATTAAGAAAAGTATGTTTGTGTGGTTGATATTAAATTGATAAAGTAAGAATAAAGTTAGAATGATTTAGAGCCACACAATCTTCACCAAATATGGTATGAGACAAACTTAGTGGGACTTCCCGAAAAGGTAAAATGGGACAATCTTAGCGGGACGGAGGGAGTAGGAATTAAAAAAAATCAACATATTATATACAAGAATATACCTGTGCAATGTGCTCAGCAGCAGCAACCCTGGGTTTTACGATTTCACAGTTTGCTATGACAAGTATATTTGGAGCACTACCATCAGTCTAGCATGGGGAAGCAAGTTCAGAAATAACCAAATTAAAGATTGCTAGCAGTTGGATACTTGGATCATATGCAATTTATAGTCTCATTTAACAAAGCAAAACAATCATACTTGGATACCAAGCTCGTGTTTTTATTCCTTCTTCCTATTACCGGTGTAAAGCCATCAAGATCGTATTCTTCATTGGGACCTAAAAAAGAGTGAGTAGCACTATGGATGTCCTCAGATATAACATCACCATTGGACTATAAAGGGACAAGTGTAGTATGAGTACACAAAGGATCAGATACAAGATCATCATGTCCTGTAACAACATCATTAGTAGCAAAACCAAGTGGAATCGTTTGATGAACGACGCCTGCGGCTACCGCCTTTATACAGGTGGCCACCGAGGGTTCATCAAACATAAGTGCATCAGAAAGGGCATGGTTATCAGCACCACAAGCAACCGGGCCAACCTTAGCTGCAAGTGTAGCATCAATAGCATCTAAGTCTACGGGGCCAACCTTAGCTACATTTGTAGTTTTTCGGGCATCACAAGGGACAGTAGGATCTGCAGCATATCCTGAGATAATTGTAAAAGCAGTAAAAAAAAGTGGAATCGTTTGCGCCATAACTTACACAATTAAGTTCTGGGTTAGCCATTTCAACTTGACTAACCACTGTATCATTTGTTGCATCAAACAAGGCTCCATTTGGTAGAGAGCCTGTACTTGGGGCACAATCTGCAATCTGAATGGAATAGGGCTTTAGCCTCAGATTCTCATCATATGCAACTGAAGCACCTGTTGAGGCATCAACATTAAAGGCAACATCGTTAGTTGGGCCAGAATCAGAGAGGTGAGGTTCTGGGACAGATTCTTCTGCGGTGGCAATATCTAAAACATCACAATCCATATTGCCAGCTTCATCAAATGGTAAATTGTAATCAGAATGCGCAAGGGCACTGAGATCATCAAGCATAGAGCCATTGAGTTCAATATCACCACAAACAATAGGTTGTCTATCAACTAGGACTTCAGGAGGGCCGAATTAGAATATCAGTTGGAGAGTGGAAACTCATGGATGTCAACTATTTCGTAATTAAAAGTAAACTTTAGGATGGAGTTCACACTTTTCCCTTAAAACCGAATCCAAATACTCTAAATATAAGTGAAGACATAGTTATATAATATTTTAATAAATTTATAATTGGTGTCACATTCATATTTAATTTATTGTCCATCTAACAATCTAAGTCCAAATGCATTTTAAGTTTTGTTTAATTTAATATATTTTAAAATAATACTCCTTATGTAATATGTACTACACATTAACTATTTTAACTTAAGTTGCATTATCGTGTTCTTAAATGATGAAGAAATATAATTTTCTATTTATGAATTTTTAAGTGTATATATAATTTAATATATTTGTTGTTGACCGGTAAAAAGTAATACTAAGTAATTGTTGTTGACAGGTTCACCTGGATGCTAGTGATGACATCATTCTTACTCTATGCTACATCTTCTTTGTTGATGAACACTTTTCAACATACTTTTCCATTAGAAGTGCAAGCATCCCCTCCCCGACAAAGTTAGAATATGAATTGCCCAAAGTTTGAAACAGGTCCATTAAAGTAGCTTCCCAAACTCTGACATCTAAACTTATTGAACTTACCTTAGAGTTATGAACACCAATTTTTTTAAGAATGCCAAAGCATTTTATGCAGATCAAATTGCATAGATTAAGAGAAGCATAATCAGGTTCAGAAGCCCATCACTCTACAAATTCCTCCTCTCCCCATAGAATGACATATTACTGCTTCCATATATCACACCTGGCAGTATAACATTATACATAGTACAACCCATGTATAAGAGAAAACCCTCTAAATTTTTCTTAAGTGCTTGCCCACATTTGAAAAACTTGCTATAAGAAAGTATTTACACATTTTTTATCTGATCATACATAGATTGGTCAGCTTGTTATAAGAAAAGTTTTATAAAATACTATATAGCAGCTAGATATATGAAATAATATATACTCCGTAATATGATATAAGTATAAGAAAAATACATTAGAGTCTAAACTAAATTGAGATAGTATGATTTAACTCTATCATATTCTATCATTACTTTACTCTTGTATCAAAGTCCAAGAAGAGAAATACTCCGTAATATGATATAAGTATAAGAAAAATACATTAGAGTCTAAACTAAATTGAGAAAGTATGATTTAACTCCATCATATTCTATCATTACTTTACTCTTGTATCAAAGTCCAAGAAGAGAAGTAGCAAACTATAGATAAAGAAGCATTAGTATATTCTTGAAGCATTAGCTATGGAACATTGAAAGGTCATTATTAAGTTATAAATAATAAAAGGTGAATTCACACATTCTGAAAATTGATACTCCGTATAAGTTTTTTAAATGTCACATAGATAGCTCAGTTTGCTATATGAAAACTTTGAGAAAAAACTGTAAAGTGGCAATTATATGAAATAATATGATTTAACTATAACAAAAATACATTAGAGTGCAAACTAAGTCCAGATAGTATAACTTAACTCCATTATATTCTGCCATATATTTAGTCTATATACAAGAAAACAAAGAGCTAAGATGATGATCCCAACACATTCTTTGGCCATTTTTTTGTTGATTTCTCAATTTTTTGCTATTGTTGTTTCTTGTGGTGTTCAAAACCCATATACGAAGTATGTAAATCCATGTTCAATTTCAGATATACTAATAGCATTGTTCTCAACAATATAGAATCCAAATGCTTTTCTTTCAAATAAGGAACAAAACTCCTAAGATTTAGTTGTAAAGCTGTTAGTTTGAATTTCCACCAGAGGTACCTGGTTATAGGCTTGCGCACGAAGCCGTTGGGTACCAATTTAAGGGCAGCTTCTGAGTAGAGAATAATGTGTTGGAGTTGAGAGATGTTCACGGGTGTAGTCAATTTTAGAGTCTCGCCATCGGTCGTAGTTAAACTCTGTGTAGCGCCTTAGCCATCGCTGTTGTTCCGCCTTCTAGGGGAGGCTGAACCCATATGTTCTCTGTTGGACGCTTGGTCCCGCCATCGATTATGCTGGAGTTCCTCTGTTGAACATGAGATACGCTCATTTCTGCCAGACGCACTGTACCGCCATTGCCGACGGCTGGCACCCTCCGACGCGGAGAAAATCGAGATCTATTGCAGCTGTGGATTCTGATTTGTCTATTCCGAGTCGCGATGTTGCGCTAGAGCTCGAAGGTGGAGGAGTGAGCGGCGGGTAGCTGCGATAGGTTTAGACCAGACATGAAAAAAATTCTCTTATTTAGAATAATGACCCCGAGCAGGATGGATATTTATATAAATTATAAATATGACCCGTTTCCAATTTTGCTAGTGTCACTATAGGACGCTAATACCATTGTGTCACAAAATTATGGCCTTTATGCATTTTCAAGACAATATGTCGTCTATTAGTGACACTTTATCACAAAGTGTCACTGACGAAGTGTCACTATAAGACAGTTTTCTACTAGTGTTAATGTTACGTTAGGTCTGAAAATGTAGTAGTGTTTGCCACTTTCTCTTTTAAGTAAAGAATTTGTGGTTCCGGTTAATTCTCTCTCCTCTGCACAAACCTCAACCACACAGTTTTTACTTTATTAATCCCCGTGCCGGTCAAACTTGGCAAAGTTTTAAGGGACGGTGATAGTATGATATATTTGTGAACATTGTTGATATATTTAGATAATAAGTTATAATTTTATTATTTTTTATTTAGGCATCTCAAATGGGCGTGACTGGCATTTTGGTGAACAATGGCATAAATTTTAAAGCTCTATATGAAGGACTCTTAGCATTCAATCAACGCAATGTTCCACGTCCACGACATGCATTTATGATGCCCCATCACCATCATGTTCCGCATCCACAACATGCATCAATCATACCTCATCACTATCCTACTCGAATTGTGCGTGTCCCTCAACCTCAGGTTCATGGGTGTTGCAATGTCCCGCATATTGCTCAACCTCGCCCGCAAGGAGGTTGCAATATTCCATGCATGCATTTTGAAATGATGTCATTATGTGGTTATCATCACCATAATCATCATCACCACCATAACAATCGACATAGGCACATTTAAACCCTTATGCCTAAATACCTAATATTAACTATATTATCATGCTTGCTTCTAATTTTTTTTCATACGTATGATTAAGATAATGTTAGAAACAGAGATCTTGTTTTTATGATTTAATTCGTTCTTCCCTTCTGCACGATAAATAGAGCGGGTTTGCTTATTACTTGAATTTACTTCATCAAAGTAATTTTAGGAGTGGTTATTTTAGTTCTTTTCACTATGAATACATATCAATTTAATACAGAGTATTATCATTTAAATTGTGAAAAATATGACTAATAATTTCATCGATGGGGGTTACTATTTTAGGGTGCACGTCAACGGTAATATATATCGTACAGCCGGCTGTACCTAGGGCATGGTACAGCCGGAGTTTTTTGTAATTAAATCCAAGTTATTATAGGTTAAAAGTTAGGTTGATGGCTGCTGCATCTTTTCTTTTTCCCGCTGCTCTTCGACTGTGCGCTTTTCCTTTCTTTTTTCATTGACGGCGGCTATAGTGCTATACTCCTTTTTTGTTTTCTCTTTTCTTTTCGTTGGTTTTCACTTACGTATCTTGCTTTTCGTTGTTTTCTCTTATCTTTTCAGTTTTCTTTGTTTTTGTGTTTTCTTGTTTTAGTTCTTTCTTTTCGTGTTTGTTTTTTCTTCTTTTTCCAATCTCACTTTTAATTTGAGTTTTTCTAATTTCTGCATTATAAAACATTTTTGCTATTAATGTTTTGTTCTTCTATTTTTAATTTTAAAATGAATATTTTTTATTTCATTAAATATTACTCCGTATGTGTTAGTTAATAACATGAGTTTTGCGTTATACTAAAATGAGTATAGTGTAAAATAAATGTGCATGAGTAAATATCATAAAAACAACACGATATTTATTTGTAGTTCAAGAACAAAATACTATAAATTATTTAAAGTTATTATATTTCTCTCTTTTTGAATTACAGACATGAGAAAACGGACAATGATGCTCAATTGCATGTTTCTAATACTCAATATAAGAGATTTGCTGCTCAATGAAAACGTATTGATACTCACTCAACAAAAAAAACTTATGATTTTTATACTAATGCTCATTTTATAATTTACGAATGCTCAATCGGTACTCAATTGCACGCTTCTAGTATTTAATAAAGAATGTTTGCACGCTTCTAATATTCAATGGAGAATGTTTAATGCTCAATGAAAAATGTCTTGATGCTCAACTAACAAAGCTTATTATTTTCATATTAATGTTTATTTTGTAAGATATATATGCTCAATCGGTACTGATGTTATGCTCATCTAGTGTTAATTAAAAGTTCATTAATGCTCATTTAAAAAAAACAATTATTTTCATCTCAATATAGGAGGTTTTATTCTCAATGAAAATGTCATGACATCCAACTAACAAATCTTTCGTTTTTCATATTTATGTGCATTTTGAAAGTTGCGGATGCTCATTTGATACTGATATCATGCTCATTTTTAAAATGACATATCAATGCATGTTTCAAAAGTGCCATATTAGATTAAATTTGCATATTGAAGTTTATAGAAGTTGATTATAGATATAATTTAATAAGTTTTTATAAAAGAAAAACTATGAAAAAGAAAGTGAATTACAAAATATGAAGGAGATATCGTGATGCTCATTATTAGACTTCTAATACTCAATACAGAAGGTTTGATGCTAAATGAAATATTTTGATGTTCAACTAATGAAGTTTATTTTTTTCATATCAATGTCCATTTTGTAAGCTATGTGTGCTCATTTGGTATTGATGTTATGCTCATTTTAAAATGTCATATCAATTCTTATTTCAAAAATATTATATTACATTAGATTAAAATATTAAAAGCTAGTTATAGATATAATTTAGATTTTTTATAATAAACAAAATATGAAAAACAAAGTAAATTAGAAAATATAATGCGGATATCACAATGCTCAATATTAGCCTCATAATACTCAACATAATAAGTCTGATGCTCATACCAATATCAGATGAGCATACGTAACTGACAAAATGAGCATCGAAAAATTCAATAGCTCATTTAATTTGAATTCTCTAATGTGTTCACATATTCATCCTCTTATGCTCATTTCTTTTAATCGTTATATTATTCCTTTCTATAATATGTACATGTAATAGATACATAATTAACAATTTACTAAATTATCATTATATATCATAATTTTATATTAAAAATATTTTATAGTCTTTCTTTCTTGAATTAAAAATATAATCATGTTCTTCTTCTAATATCTACTCATGCAGATTTATTTTACATTATACTCATTTTAGTATAACACAAAACTCATAATAGTAATCAAAACACAATAATTAAGACATTAATAAATATTCATCTTAAAATTTAATAAATTAAAATTAATGACTAACATATTTTATAATGCACAAATTTTAAAAAATTAAGTTAGAAAGTTGATTGGAAAAAGTAAAAATTGTTAAAGAAAAAAAAAAACGGAAAAAAAGAAGAAGCAGGAAAGCAACGAATAAGAGAAAAGTGAACAAAAGACAAAAGCAAAAATCAAGGAAACAGAAGAATAAAAGAAACCGTAAGGAACGATCGGCAGCCAGCAGTGAAGTGGAAAAGAAAGAAATTAACTGGGGAAGAAGGTTAAGAGTGATACAAGTCAGGCTGTCTAGCTGGGATGGAGAATTAGACAACGAGACATGTACATATAAACTGTAGATTATAGAGAGAAAGAGAAAAATGATGATTGGGGAAGATGAGTATTATTCATTATCTGATCTCCAATGAATTGTACAAAGAGTATATAAACTGACCAAAGTCGTTCAGAAGCTAGTAAACTACACAACTAACTCCTAACTAACTTTGACATCTGTACAATTATTCAAACAACAACATTCCTTTTAATCCAGCTGAGTTGGCCCCATTTCATTCTACTGCATCAATACTCCCTCCTTGAAAACTGACTTGTCCTCAAGTCACACTTCTGTAAAAAGCTGGATATAAAGCCTTGATAGAATCGGACCATTCCCAAGTTGCATTTTCCTTCCTCTGACCATCCCATTGGATCAAAAACTTGACCCTAGCTGCATTACCATGCTTCACCATCTGTCTTTCCAAAATAGCACTTGGTTTCACAATAGTGTCATGAGATAACCCTTGTAACCAATCTGGTATATGAGGTTTAGCTGGCAACTGACCCCTAAATTCCTTCAATTGAGATACATGGAATGTATGATGAATCTTAGCTTCAGGTGGTAAAATCAACTGATAAGCAACCTTCCCCACCACTTTGCTTATCTGAAATGGGCCATAAAATTTTGGAGACAATTTATCATTTACCCTCTGCTCTACTGAGTTCTGTCTATAAGATTGTAGTTTAAGCCACAGCCAATCCCCCAACTGAAAATTTCTTTCAGACCTGTGTTTATCCGCCTGCACTTTCATCCTATTCTGGGCTTTCTCCAAATGAGATTTCAGCACCTTGATCATAGCTTCCCTTTGTTGCAATGACCTGTCAACTACTTCTACCTTAGTTTCACCAGCCAAATAGGGTAAATGCAAGGGTTGATGTTGATTGTATACAGCTTCATAAGGAGTCATCTGAATAGAAGAATGGAATGAAGTATTATACCACCATTCAGCTAATGGTATCCATTTACACCATTCCCTTGGTTTCTCACTGCACATGCATCTTAAGTAGTTTTCAAGGCATCTGTTCACAACTTCAGTCTGTCCATCAGTTTGTGGATGGAAAGAAGTAGACAATAGCAAATCTACTCCTTGTATACTGAAAAGAGCAGTCCAGAAATTACTGAGGAATATAGAACCTCTATCACTCACAATAGTTCTAGGCCATCCATGCACCTTGAAAACATTATCAAGATAAATTTGTGCTACCTCTATTGCTGAGAAAGGGTGTTTAAGAGTCATGAAATGAGCATACTTGCTCATTCTGTCCACCACTACAAAAATAACATCTTTGCCACAAGATTTGGGTAACCCTTCAATAAAGTCCATTGACACATCCAACCACACATCTTTGGGAATAGGAAGAGGCTGCAATTTACCAGGATAGGCTGCATTATCATACTTACAAGCTTGGCAAATTGTACAGGTTCTTATGAATGCTTGAACAAATTTATTAATCCCTTTCCAAAAGAATATTTGGCGAATTATTTGAACAGTTGCATCTCTGCCTGAGTGACCCCCCATAGATGAACTATGCGCCCACTGTAGGATTTTCTCTTTTACCATATCATCCTTGCCTACTACAATCTTTCCCTTCTTTCTTATCACACCATCCACCAATTTATAAGAATTATCTCCCAAATTAGGGTTAGCTTTCATTCTGTCCAGCAACTTCTGTATTCCTTCATCACCTTCATAGCTTGCTTTAATCAAATCCAAAAGGTCTAAATTGATAGATGATAATGCTAAACATAGCAGTTCAGCTCCTGTAACTCTAGATAGAGCATCAGCCACTTTATTCTCCACTCCACTTTTATATTGGATTTCGTACCTAAAACCCATCAACTTGGATAACCAAAATTGTTGAAATGGTGTAGAAATCTTTTGTTCTAACAGCCATTTCAAACTCTTTTGATCAGTTTTGATCACAAAAGTCTGACCAAATAAGTATTGCTCCCATTTCTGCACTGCAAACACCAAAGCTAGCAACTCTTTCTCATATACTGACAATTTCTGCCACCTACTTCCCAGAGATCTGCTAATAAAGGCCAAGGGATGCCCTTCTTGCATCAATACTGCCCCTATGCCATTATTAGAAGCATCGGTCTCTACTATAAATTGTTTGTCAAAGTTGGGCAAAGCCAACACTGGGGCAGTTGTCAATGCTTTCTTAATCTCCTCAAATGCTTTAGTAGCTTCTGTGGTCCATTGAAAAGAACCCTTCTTGAGCAAATTAGTCAGTGGTTTAGTAATCAAGGCATAACCCCTGATAAACTTTCTATAATACCCGGCCAGTCCTAGAAAGCTCCTGAGTTGCTTTAGAGAAACTGGGATAGGCCATTTCATTATGGATTCGATCTTTCTAGGATCTGTCTCCACCCCCTGACCAGATATATAGTGTCCCAGGTACTCCACTTTCTTGATTCCAAAAGCACATTTAGTCATTTTAGCATATAGCTGATGGTGCCTTAATACTTCAAAGGCCTGCTGCAAATGGATCTT